TTGCATATTTGTTGGGCTGGTCGACTTTCTTGGAAGCTACAGTTGTGTCCTGCTCTACTGTTTGCTTTCTGTGTTGTCTTGAATTTACGTTTTCATTCTGAGAAAAAGAATGCTTGTGACATCGGTTGCTGCACTTTCTTGGGAGGTTGTGTTAGGGTCAGTTTCTCCATGTTTTTAGAGCGTTAAAAGCGCTGGCGTGTTGAAATATACAACACGTGATATCAACGACATTGCGGAACAACCCCGTAACCGTGTGCCAAGGTGACAATTTCAGGAACAACTACTCAGAAGTGAACTATAGGTGGGGCGTGGGGAGAATAATGTTACGCGTACCCTGATAAGGACATAATTATTAATAGGTTACAGCTTACACCGAACTGTTACTGAGCTGCAGATTATTAAGGTTGCGCACGACTTCTGGATCAGATCTGTAGTCTGGGGGAGGGGGAGTTGGTCTATACCCCCCCCCCCCCATTTCCTTTCCCATAGAGCATCGGAATCCACAAGGAGATGTGGAAGTATGAACACATGTACAAACAGTTGACACTTGCCTCTGCATTTGACCCAGATGAAAAGGTAGCAGTGTTTGAGCATGTTTCGATCTTTCAAATGGTTGGGCAGCCTAAATCTGACATCCCTCACATGCATGGGACCTGCCCAAGTGTCTTAAACTAATGCTTTACCCGCAGGGAAGAACTTTATTTCAGGTGTCCGTCTCGTTGTTCAACTCTTGTTTGCGGTATACCTGATACATGACCCAATTAGAAACTGAGCTATTTGCAAATCATTAATAATCAAGTTTTTACACTTACCGCTCTGAACCCTGTCTTGTCAACCAGCTCAGAACCCTGTCTTGTGAGCCGGCTCTGAACCCTGTATTGTTAACAGGCTCTGAACCCTGTCTGATCAAACGGCTCTGAACCTTGTCTTGTCAGCCGGTTCTGAACCCTGTCTTGTCAGCCGGCTCTGAACCCTGTCTTGTCAACCGGCTGTGAACCAATGTCTTGTACCCCGGCTCTGACCCTGTCTTGTCAGCCGGCTCTAAACCCTGTCTTGTCAACCGGCTGTGAACCAATGTCTTGTCAACCGGCTCTGAACCCTGTCTGGTCAACCGGCTCTGAACCCTCTCTTGTCAACCGGCTCTGAACCCTGTCTAATCAACCGGCTCTGAACACTTTGTCAACCGGCTCTGAACCCTGTCTTGTCAGCCGGCTCTGAACCCTGTATTGTTAACCGGCTCTGAACCCTGTGATCAACCGGCTCTGAACCTTGTCTTGTTAGCCGGTTCTGAACCCTGTCTTGTCAGCCGGCTCTGAACCCTGTCTTGTCAACGGGTTCAGAACGATGTTTTGTCAACCGGCTCTGAGCCTTGTCTTGTCAACCGGCTCTGAACCCTGTCTTGACAACCGACTCTGAGCCTTATCTTGTCAACCGACTCTGAGCCTTGTCTTGGAAGCCAGCTCTGAACCCTGTTTTGTAAAACGGCTCTGAACCCTGTCTTGTCAACAGGCTCAGAGCACTGTCTTGTCAGCCGGCTCTGAACCCTGTCTTGTCAACCGGCTCTGAACCCTGTCTTGTCAACCAGCTCTAAACCATGTCTTGTCAACCGGCTCCGAACTCTGTCTTGTCAGCCGGCTCTGAACCCTGTCTTGTCAACCGGCTCTGAACCCTGCCTTGTCAACCGGCTCTGAATCCTGTCTTGAAAACCAGCTCTGAACTCTGTCTTGTCAACTGGCTCTGAACCCTGTCTTGTCAACCGTCTTTGAACCCTGTCTTGTCAACCGGCTCTAAACCCTGTCTTGTCAGTCGGCTTTGAACCCTGTCTTATCAACCGGCTGTGAACCTTGTTTGTCAACTGTCGAACAAGTGGTGTCCGGGGCGAGGTAGTCCAGCCGTTTTCCTCGCACTTCTCAGTGTCGTAGGTTCGCTTTACGGCTGCATCTTTCGATTCACGAATGCACATTTTACAGAGACCGATCGGGATCGTCACGGGAGCTACTGTGTTCGAACTCTGTGCCACGCTCTCAGCAGACAGCTATCCGTTCTACGAAGAAATACCTAGCCATATAGGATAAAACCCGGTGCAGTGAAGTCGGTCCTCTCGAATTTAACTTTGTAATAAGCTTTTATTTCAGTTTTGTTTGTTTGTTCGTCTGGTACAATTTTTACGTCTGTAAAAAAAATTTAATTCGCTCCTTTTCCGCATAGAATTCAGAGTAGCCGGATCCTGGGGGCATAGGCACCTTGAACGCCCCCCGCCCCCAACCCCCGATTCACCCTAAAATTGTTGGTGTATATGAGATTGCTTTGTGAGGTCGCCTCAAGACGCAGGGGAAATCATACCTTCAGATGGCGGTCCTTGGGAGAAAGAGAGACGGATCAGTAGAACTGTTGTTTTCTATGCCCCAGTTGTAAAGTTCGAGGGCACCATTTTAGAGTTTAGACCCACTGTCATCATTACAAGCATGTCGTAAAAGGCGACAATTTAAGGGTGTTTTCTTAGAAGTCAGATTGCATCTGCATGAGAGAAGAGAAATCAGTAGTCTGTGACCAATAGGCCAAATCTGTAAAATAGATGTGCACGCAACTCAAGTTCCGGAACAAGCCCAAAGTCCAGAAATTGGCGAATAACCAGAACTTTTCCCCGGAGTTTACTGCCTGGGAACGCTGTGGACAAACAATCGGGACCCTCTGTCAGATGTTATAGTCGGCATTGCAGTTTGCCCCCTCCAGGATTACAAGCCCACAGGATTCACTCTTCTGAGGTGAGAATTCTATATTTGCAAATCCCGTTAAACCAGATTCAACCGTGAGGGTATCCTAGCCTTTAACGGTTACGACACTATCTGAAACCCAGACTGGTTTCCTGCCGGAGTTTACTGCCAGTAAACTCAAAGTGTTCTCAGTGCTGGTTCAGACTTTGCGACACGAAAGCTGAAGCTGATGACCCTTTGTGTCTGGCTGGTTAATGTTAGCCCGTGTCTATTCATCAGCTCCTTTGTATGCACGTTTTTTTTTTTTTAAACAGGCGTCTGAATAAACTGGTAGTTTTTCAAGTTCTAAATGTTGAATATTGAATAAGGATCCGACATCGTAGCACACGGGACACTTCCATAAGCGCTTCGCCCCTATCTTCAGCAGCAAGCAAAGAGTTCCAATTCCGATGACACCAGTAACTGTCTTCAGTGTTGAGTCTTGGCCAGATCCCCTGGTAACTCCTCGCAGCGCCATTCTCTTCAGTCCGTAATGATCTTTTTGTACCTCCGCACAGTTCACTCGCTCCCAAATGACACAACATTAGGATATCACACAGGCGATAAACACCCGATGACACAAAGTGCCACCATGCGGATGAGGATCACCGTGGAGAGGTCCCAGAAACCGCGTTCAGCCATTAGACCATATTTATGGTCGGGCTATATTGCGGCCTCTGGCAAGAGCCAGAGTAGGGCTTCAAATAACGAAAAAAATTGCATCTCACAAGGAGATAACTGGAACATTGGACTTTATTAGGAAGGTTTTCACTGATCTAGAGTCTCGATCGATGGCCAGATCTGACATTGGTTCAGTAGTTATTTTAATAAGGGCTGCTGGAACATGGGGCCAAGTGGCCCCTGAGCCCCCCAATCCCCCTGTCCCTGCTCACTATAAATTGTATAGTGGCTGGGCGGGGGCTTGAGGGGCCTCATAATAATGTACCTGTTGGCTAATGTAATAATATACTTGAAACAATACGATATGTATAAAGAAATACATTTAAAGAGAAATGTCTGCTTTAGCCGCTCCAGTCACCCTACACCAGTGATTTACAAACTGTGCGCAAGAGCGCCCCGGGAAGCCGCGACCTCTTCACAGGGGCGCCGCGAAATATTGTAAGATCTTCATAATTAATTTAACCAAGACACGAATAGTCCTACTTTTTTTTATTTAGGTTAGGGCGCCGTGGACAAATTTAAAGATGAAAAAAAAAAGGCGCCGCGACCAAGAAAGGGGGGGGGGTGGTCATCAGCACGGCACTACGACTCAAGGGCCCCCTACGTTCCAGTGCTAGTAGCTATATCAAGTCTTAAATCAATCATCGGTGTATTCGATTGATAAATCTTCCTATGTTATGGCTGGCCAAGTGGTTAGGGCTCTCATGCAGGGAAACGTGTGTTCGATTTTCGGTAATGGATGTAAAAGGAACAGGAGCCAATTAAAAAAAAAAAAAAAATCCTAGCCTATACAGTTCGTGGTTAATGCTCTAGCATGCTAACACAGATTCTCAGACTCACGACCCACATGCCATGAAACGTTACGCTTTTAAATACACCCATCCCCCATGTTTTTAAAATCTTCTAATTACAGATGAATACCTATTGTATTTTTAAGAGAAACAAGGGTGCAAGTCAAACTTTACCGGTCGCTGAGTGAATTACAAAAGACAGTGAAGTTCACACTAGAGACAATATTGGAGATATAAATAATTTTTTTCAAGCGTACAAAAGAAGATGTGTTTTTAAGGACTTAAACGTTCCATGCAAATTACGTTTTCAATATACAGCAGGCCAACTGTTGAGACTGTGTACACGGTCCTGCAGGTTCGATTAGACTCGCATACACACCAGAACAATGTGGCATATTTCGGTTTGGCCAAAGTGAAATGAAACCGAAACCGAACCCACCCCCCCCCCCCTCACCCCCACCTACCCCCCCTCACCCCCACCTACCCCCCCCCTCACCCCCACCTACCCCCCCCCCTCACCCCCCCCCCCAAATATGACATTGTTATGGTTCTTGTTTTGGAAGCACTTCCGCCGCAACAATAGAACCGCAGACAATGGGGAGCTCGGAAATGTGAAGATAATTTTCATTGTTATGAACACAATATTCGGGAAAATTCATTTATATACACGCATTTTTCACTTTGCTGTGTAATTAACTTTGTTAATAAACCTGTAAAAGGTCGTCATTTGATGATTTTTATCCATTATTAAAAATTTCACCTGTCTCCCCCCAAGATGGCGTCGTTCATCTCCAGAACTGGAGACTTCTACGATCCTGAGCAGACGAAACGGAGTTTATCGGCTTTAAATGATCAGAGGAACTTATCACAGTTTTGTGATGTGGTGCTGAGAGTGTTGAATACCCAGATATACGCTCATTCGAATGTTTTAGCCGCTGCAAGTCCATATTTTGAATCGTTTTTGGGTGTCGGTGCAGACTGCCCGAGAATGTTTTCACAAAAACACCCACAGATTATTGAAATTCATATAGACACGAAGGATGAGGATAGTGGTTATGGTGAAGCGGTTAGTAAAGTCGTGGAGTTTATGTATACCAGTCGTATAACGCTGACTCCGACTTTAGTGTTTCAAGTTCTGGAGATTGGAAAAATCATGCAGATGGATAAGTTGCTAGAGTTTTGTGAACTTTTTCAAAATGGAGAGGATAGTAATTATCCAAAGGATATGGCAACATGCACTACGGGATTGCAGGAAATTGCAAATCTCCTCGGGTCTCGGTCTAGATCCGTTAAACATATCAGTGTGGCTACCGAAACAGAAGAAACAATGTTTAAGAAAATTGAAGCATCTTCTTCGGTGGTAACTTCATTTCCTTCACTGCAATTGTCGGAGATTTATCAACAAGAAGAGACACATTTGCAATTGAAGGATTACCAGCCTCAGCAAGTGATTTCCTCTGCATTTCAAGATGTGAGTGAATATGAGGGGGTTGTGAAAGAAGAGAATGATGCGTCAGTTCTCCAAGAGACATCTGCAGTTGGTTTTGACTGTGACAATATTGATCAGAATGATGCTTCTCTACTTTTAGCAATAAGCAATGTTCGACCTCCAGTTGTTACAACACAAGTAGAAAATATTGCCGAACACACAGAAGATTCTACAGCCAATCTAGGCCAGTCAGAATCCCAGGTGTTCATTGAAAATTGTTTCAGTGGCTGTCCTGCATCGCTGGACATGAACACTAATGTGGTCAAAGCTGAAGAGATGACTTGTGATACACAAGAACCATCTGCAGAACTACAGCCTACATTTTCAGAACTAGTGCCTTTGCAGAATGACCTTGCTTCCAAAAAAGGATTTAGCTTGGAAGATATTTCCGACCTGGTACAGTTCAGCTCTGCAACATCTGTATTAGTAAAGGCGTCTAAAGTTCGAGGTAGAGGTCGGCCGAGAGGGAGAGGTCGTGGAAGGGGTAGAAGACCCGGGCGACCTCGCAAAGTGAAAGAAGAACCTGACAGTGATCCAGAGTTTGAAGAGTTTATTGATCGAGTTGAAAAGGGTGACAGTTCAGTTCCAGTTGGATTTGAAGAACACAACGAAAATGATAAAATTGATGTTAAGGAGGAGTCACTTCTCAAATCCACTGACATAATTACAGTACAGGATAAAATATTTACTCCATCGGAGAGAGTACAAGAAGAAATTCATTCATCATTAAACTGGAAAAGTCGAAGAAAATCTAAGCCATCACTGCTGAGGAAAGATTATGTCATGCATTCTTTAACTAAGAAAAGTCGAAAACATGAAATGTTTAAGTCAGAAGAACTGCAGCCAGAAGTCACGGAACTCAAACCTAAAGACCCGTCAGCAATTTCTACTGTGAAGTTAGTGTGCCAGAAGTGTGATTTTATTACCTCTTATTTCAAGGAGTATCGTCAGCATATGAAGACACACCCAGAAACTGATCCTCGATATTTTACCTGTGATAAATGTCAGTTTAAGACAACAAAGTCACGTGAATTCAGTTCTCATAAACACAAACATATGAAAGATGAGTTTATATGTCCTCTGTGCAGTCATCAGTCAAACTCAGTTGATGAATTTGTAGAACATTCACACAAGCATTCGGGTGGTTTTCCCTTCTTTTGCACAGAATGTGATTCCCGATTCCGTACCAAGAATCAGCTGATTGCTCACAAACCCAAGCACCAGGTGGAGAAACCGTTTGTTTGTGCCATCTGTGGTTCTGGGTTCAAATGGAAACATGCCTTGAAAAATCACATGATAACCCACAGCGCTACAAAAGATCAGCTTTGTGATGAGTGTGGTTACGCTACGGCCCATAAGTCACAACTGAAAGCTCATAAACTCATCCACACTGGTCACCTTTTTAAGTGTCCGGTCACCGGCTGCCATTTTGAGGCCACCAAACGACAAAATCTCAAGTACCATATGGTCACTCACACGCATGAGAAGCCACACCAATGTGAAGTTTGTGGGCAGAGCTTCTCGTTGATAAAAAACATGCGTCGGCACATGCTTCTTCACACCAACACCCGTCCATTTTCCTGCAAGATCTGCTCCTTTTCCACGACGCGTTACGATAAGCTGAAGGAGCACAACCTCAAATTACACAACATTGGAGAACCGCCAATTTCTAAAAAGGATGTTAACATTACAAAGGGTTGTTCTGTTGAGAACCTCAGACTGATTAACTCCAGCATCACCTATGTTTCTCCTGATGGGATCACAATCAACACGGATGGAACTATCTCTGCAGAGACTCTTCACACCATTGCACAGTTGGCCACGGCTCAGGGTATGGATGGCGCTGCACTACAGAACATCAACATTGAACAGACTGCAGAAGATGGGACAGTTTACCCAATTGTTGCTACTGTACAGTCCTTTACCAACAGCAGAGGGGAGGTCCAGTATATTGCAGAGATTCCTGATTAACCTGTTTTTCATTAATAAGGACATAAACAGTTGACCTCAACTCAGGATTTGGATGGTGCTGCACTAAAGAATACCACCGTTAGCATTAAACAGACGGCAGAAGATATGTACCCAACGTTTGGTACTGCACTGTCTTTAAAACCACCGGAGGGGAAGTCCAGCATATTGTGGAGATTCCTGGTTAACCTGTTTTTGACTAATGCGGACACAAATAATACACAGCACAGTTTATAGACGGGCATATTTTGCTGTATCTTATCAAGTGCGTTAATTATTTACCACACAGAGAATAGGTGAATGCTGAGATTAGCTGAAGCTATAACAATAAGTGAACAAACGTCTTGTATGTAAACAGAAGGAATTCATTCTAAATTTGGAATTGTCCTAGTAAGTCATGTGACTATCATGAACCTTTGGTGATTAGACGAACAATGTATCGAGAGATTTAGTGATTTATATTTCAGTAGATTTAGTTAACTTTAATGCTTCATTATATGTTTCCTTATGTGATTTCCTGGGCCCCATTATAGGGAAAACAAGAATAGACCCACTGCCTGCCCAAAAGCGTGTCATAAAAGTTGATTAATTCTGAGCTTTCTTTAAAGTGGGAGTACATCTGCCTGAGAGGCAAGGAACCAACAGTGTGCATGCAACACTAGGTTTCTAGAACAGGCTTATAGTCTAGAAGTGGACGAACAACCAGAACTTTTCGCCAGAGTTTATAGCCTGTGTACATGAAGAAGAAAAAGATTATATGTTGATATGACTTTGTATAAGTAATACACCTGATGAGATAGAGCAAAATATGCCAGGCAGTAAATAATGCATTGTATTGTTTATATCTGCATCATTTAACAGGAAAACGTTGTTTTCAATAATCTATTGGTGTTTTTTTTTTGGGGGGGGGGGGGTTATTATTGTAGAGACAGTATCAAACTTATAATTAATGTTGTTCTTCAGCGACCTGTTATCAGTGTAGTTGTGAGAGACTACTTTTCTACCACAGCACCAGAAATGTTAACATTTTTTATATAAAACTATTAATAATTTTATTCCCACGCCTACATTTCACTTTGTGGCTTTTATTTGCCTCGGAGAGTCAGAATAAAGAATTAGTGGGATAAGAAGATGGGCAGGACATGGGGTGAGCTGTAGGCAGTAGCAAAGGATCGGATGACTCGACATGAGTTAGTTGAGGGCTTATGCTTCCTTGGAGGATAAACAGCTGAGAAGAGGGAATTTGTATATTAGAATTTCAAGATACTGTGAGCAAAAGATTGATAATTATTGAGAGAGAGAGAGAGAAAAAAGCATTGCTACCATGTGACAGTTAATCCAACCTTTATTGAATATACTCTTGGACTCTGTAGGCGGAGCTCTGTGTAGACTTGTACTCAGCTGATTGGATAGTTTTCACTGTCAAGAAGCAACCAGCTGAACACTTAACTTTCCTTATGTTATACATAGAAATAAACAAATTAGGAATCCTTCAGGCAGTAGAAACATGAATAATTGATAAAAACCAGATACTGTATTGGTTGGCAGTCGTAGAAAGTAGAGAAAGGGCACAGTAGACAGCATAAAAATCAAAAGCTATAGTTACCATGCAGAGGTTGAACCTTTTGCCTCCAAATGACGACAGCATCTCTCTGCAAAAACAAATGTCTAGCTGGTAATGTGTCTTAGTACATTTGTTTCTGCAGCGAGACCCTGTTGTTATTTGGCAGTGACAAGTTCAATTCCCGGCCTGTTAGCTACAGCCTTAATTTTTTTAAATTTAGACTAGAGGTGAAATGTCACAAGCTAGCTTGGTTTGGGCATGTGGTGAGACATTATTTGATTGCAAAGACTGTATACTTCAAGGAACATTGGGGAGTAGTCGAAGAAGAGGAGGGCAAAGAAGAACCTGGAATGTCAACATCAAGAGATGAACAGGACTAAGTTATCATACAATTATTCATCAAGCAGAAGACAGAGGAAGATAGCGGGTTTTATGTGCTAGTGCTTCTATCAGTACACCGTCACGACCCTAATGGGTCAAGGGTTATGTAATGTTATGTTATTGCTCTCTGAAGCTTCAGTTTATTTCACAGAAGTAGGATTCAGTTCACGAGTGCAACTTTGTTTGTAGAAATCACTGGGAATCCTCGCTTGAGCTAGGGAGTTTGTGCTGTGTGCAATGCTCTCAGTAGCGGCTTGCCATTCTTTAGAGGGAGAATGAACCATATGGAATAACCCAGGAACAATGAAATCAGTACTCTCAGCTGTAACTTAGTTTACATGGCCCTTGTTAGCATGTAGATCCAAATATATACAGGGTGATTTAAAAGTAACTCCCTATTTTTAAATATGTATAGTTTATTTATTAACTATACATTTAACCTAAAATTGATACAAGAGGAAAGTGTTTAGCCTGAAGTTCTGTTTAAAATTTGATGTAGCCTCCAGATTTGTCTACCAGCATCTGGAGCTGCCCAGAAATCGTGTCAGCTGATTTCATCAGGAGCTTGTGGGGATTGGAAAACGTAACTTCTTGTATTTTCCCTTCAAGTTCTTCCAAAGCCTTTGGATCAGTCTGAAGCACGGATACAGTTTACTTTTTCATAAATTAAAGATCAAGCACACGTTCGCACACAGATTTGAGTCAAAAAGGTACCGTAAATTAATAATTCAAACATTTTTTTAAAAAAGGGGGGTTACTTTTCAATCAGCCTGTAAATACTGTCGTGAAACTAAAGTAACTGCGACTCCAGTCACACATTTTACGTTGAAAAGAAATGTGTGTAACTGTATTTATTGCACATTTTAACTCTTATTAATGGAAAGCAAATGTTTAGCTATCATTTTAGAGTTAACAAAGCAGATCGAGTAAGGGGTCTTGCTGCAAAGGCAACACATGGACTCTACAGTACAGGCAAGGTTCTGTTCTGTGGAGATGATCTTCATCCCTGGTATTTGGAAACAGTGGTCCTGGGGTCCCATGCTCTAGTTTTGAAGGCCTTTTCTTAGCTCAGGCCAGTCTTGCTGCTTGTTCTCACCATTTGCCTGTCGATTGTGATTTCCTCTTTATGGCACAGTCATTGTCGGATGGTTCTGCATGTGGTTTCTGGACCCAGAAAGCATGTTGTAAGAGTCGACAAATTGGAGCTTCCTTCGAGGTCGGAGTGCAACTGCCTGAGAGGCAAGGAACTAACAATCTGCATACAGTTAGATCTATTAAACAGATGTGCACGTAACACTCAGGTCTTAGAAAAAGAGTGAAGTCCAGAGGTGGACAAACAGCCAGAACTTTCCAAAGAGTTTACAGCCGATGAACTTGGAGAAGAGAAGAAGATTGTTTGGAAAGACATCTCCACAACAAGCAAAAACACAAAACGTTAAAAAACACACGTTTTTTTTTTAAGTCCTCAAATAAAAAGTGAGGTATGGAAAACAACTTAACAGTTCAGTGGTAGATGGAGCCTGAGACCAAGTGAAATTAGTGGCTTGTAAAAATATTGACATAATACATACAAAACATCAAAGACCAAGAAATGTGGAGACATATGAATACTTGTGCTATCTGATAAGGCACATGTGGAGACATGTGAATGCCTGTGCTAGCTGATAAGGCACATGTGGAGACATGAATGCCTGTGCTAGCTGATAAGGCACATGTGGAGACATATGAATGCCTGTGCTAGCTGATAAGGCACATGTGGAGACATATGAATGCCTGTGCGAGCTAAGGCACATGTGGAGATATGTGAATACCTGTGCCAGCTGATAAGGCACATGTGGAGATATATGAATACCTGTGCCAGCTGATAATTCACACGTGGATATATATGAATGCCTGTGCCAGCTGATAAGGCACAGAATAGTGATGATGCTGATAGCAAGAGACGAGAGAAATGGAATTCTTTGTTTGTTGATTATTGTTGCTCTTCAAACTTTCAAAATATCAAACCATTTGGGTAAATTATTGTTACGGTTAAGATGTTCTACAATCAGACAATCCTCTTATCCTGCCTGCCTGCCTAACTGTATGTGTGTCTGCATGTCTCTCTCTCTCTCTCACACACATTTGTATTTCTGTAGTCTGTTATTATTTAAAACCTAAGTGTATTTGTGAAATTACGCAACGCATCACAGCAACATTAGTATGTAAATAAATAAAAGATATTCATTGCACCAGTGTTTCAGTCAAATATGTTTGTTCTATCAGACACCTGTTGATGTTATACACCCCAGGATCATAGGGTAGTGAATCATACACCTAGCCTTCTCTGATAAGAATATATATAGTAGCCCATCTGTGTATGATGCCTATATTGATTTCCACTGTCCCTGTGTGTGTGTTCCGGGGTCCCATTATAGGGAAAACAAGAATAGACCACTGCCTTCCCGAAAGCATGTCGTAAGAGTTGACTAAAAAGGACCTTCCTTCGAAGTCAGTGCTTGTGCCTGAGAGGCAAGGAACCAACAGTCTGCATACAAATGTCAGATCTGTAAAATGGATGTGCATGCAACACTCAGGTTCTAGAACAGGACAGGAGTCCAGAAGTGGACGAACAACCAGAAATTTCTGCTAGAGTTTACAGCTGGTAAACTTGAAAAAGATTTCCACTGTGAGATGTAGATCATAATTAGACACAGCTGTGGTACAAATTGTAAAAAGCTACCCTCGGTATAGTATTTCTACCGTGTTAGTTTATGCATGTGTGCAGCTCCTGTGTGGGTTTTGTAGGCCCACTTTTTTGCGTAAAGGGGGGGGGGGGGGTGGGCTCACCGCCCTTTAGTAAACAGGTCATAAAAGCCGACAAATGAGGAGTTAGCTGAAATCGAATATATCGGTTCAAAAGTCACAAAAATTGCAGCCCAGCTGCAAACAACAAATTGCCAACTGCTCTATGCAGAAGTATATGTGCTTCTTCTTCTTCTTTGGTCACCGGCTGTAAGCTCCGGCGGAAAGTCCTGGCTGTTTGGACTTTGGCTTTGTGCCAGGGCCTGAGTTTTGC